TGTAGAATAACTATAAATACAAGAACACACGGAGATAGAGATGACTTGAATGACACAAACATGGATACAATAAATGCAAACTGTCAAGAAGATTTAGAAAGTTTATCTAGCAATTCATTTGAAAACATGGAAGGAAAAAATGTCCATAACAAGTAATTATTTATTATTATAATATTATAATATTATTAGCTTTGCATTTATTACATATATAATATAACATGTGCAAAGTAAACTTTTAAATCAGTCATAGCCTTTTCAGTATAATTACAATCTATGTTATATTATGTAAAACTTAGTTTTACTTATTAAGTCATCAAACAGTTAAAATGAAAGAAAGCCAATTACGATTAAAGTGATCATGGTGAGGATTTTACTACTTAATAATATCTATTTTTGCGTAAATCGTACAATTTCCAGTTAAGAAAAAAGTTTTTGCCCCAAATATTTGTTGATCTTTTGAAATACAGTTCTAAATTGAATCTAAAGTACGTAATCTCATCAATTAATTTGACAGACAATTTAATTATATTGATACAAATGAGTATTTTTTTAAATCTTCTGAAATAATTTATTGCAAAAAATATTACCTTAGCCATAATCTGAATCCGGATCTCCCTGCTATTCAGGCAGGGGTTTTAAAAAAATTTTATTGCATTTTCTTTTAATTATGTATCCAATAACCATTGTATTTGCTATTTAATTATTTTTATAGTTTTTATATATTATTCTATTTATAACAGTTATATAATATATACTCTTAAATGTCGTTATTATTTTTGTAATTTAAAATGTACTATAATTAAAATGTACTAAAATGTAATATAATTAAAAAATGTACAATAGTTAGTAATAACACAAGTAATATTAAAATAAAAATTATGTTTTTGCATTTGTCAGATAACTGATGTATGATTAATAAAATAAAAACTTAAAACCATACAAACATTTAAAAAGTCCATCAAATAAAACTGTTACTTTTCTAATATGTACAACAAAATAAGTTAATTGTATAAATAATGAGTAAATGATACAAAATAGCGTATAGTAAACATAAATAATGTACGTGTCATTTGTCATAAGCAGAAAATCAGAAGCAACATTTGAGCAAAAAACGGAGGACAATAAGCAGATTCCAATTCGTCTCTGGCTTTGTAGCCATTACACAAAATTAACAGGAGAAGAAGCAGCAAAATGCAATTATTGCATTTCAAAATTTTCTATTAATATCAAAGATTATGGAAAATTTCATCGCCACTTGGTAGAGAAGCATCCAAATAAATTAACAAAAAATGAAAAGAAAGAGAAAAAATTTGGTTGGTTTTGGGATTATTTTATACCAAATAATAATATGACAGCAATATGCAAGTTTTGTCACATTATCTGCAAGTATCATAAAGATTCAAATGCAAACTTGATAACACACTTAAAAAAATGTCATAGGTATGTATATTCGAAGTGTATTCAAACATTAATTAAAATCGGAACCAATTAAAAATTGATGATAAAATTAAACCAGTGAATACGTAATACATATATACATACTGATTAACGGCATTTATGGAAATATATATGTTTAAGGTCGGTATATAGTTTACGTTTTCACAAATATAATACATAAATAGACATACATTTTTTTGCGTTAATAGTACAAATATACAATTTTTAATTTTATTAAAATAAATTTATGTTGCGTATACACCCGCGCGCACATATATATATCTGGACAGCATAAAAAATATTTACTTTGATTTTAAATTTGTAATGAAACATTATTAGGAATATCAATGTAAAACAAACCTTTATTTTAACATTATACGTATGATTTAATAACTTACTTAAAAAAACTTTTTTTAAATTGTTTTCATACAAACCGCCTAACTAGAAGCTCTCAAAAGTAATAATTTCTGCCTTATAAGAGAATAGCATAAGAATCCTCGTAAAAAAGAACTATTAGTGCAGTGATAACACTACTACATTTTAGTAGTGTTTTTACTGCATTAGTAGTTCTTTTTTACTTATAGGGAAACTAATTTATTATGTTTTTAACTTTATTAATCATTAATATAATTGTAGAATAACTATAAGTGCAAGAACACACGGAGATAGAGATGACTTGAATGACACAAACATGGATACAAAAATAAATGCAAACCATCTAGAAGATTCAGAAAGATTATCTAGCAATTCATTTGAAAACACGGAAATAACAAATGTCCATAACAGGTAATTATTAGCTGTGCATTTATTATATAACATATGGTCCTATGCAAAGTAAACTTTTGAATCAGACACCCTTTTCTATATAATATCTATGTTACATTATGTAAAACATTTACTTATTAAGTCCTTAAACAGTTAAAATGAGAAAAAGCCAATTACTATTAAAATGATCTTGTTACTTAATAATACTTATTTTTGCGTGAATCGTACAAATTTCAATTTGAGAAAAAAATTTTTGTCTCCCAAATATTCGTCAATCTTGAAACACAGTTCTAAACTGAATCTAAATTACGTAATCTCATCAATTAATTTGAGAAATAATTTAATTATATTGATGCAAATGAGTATTTTGTTAAACCCTCTGAAATAGTTTACTGCGAAAAATATTATCTTAGTCATGATCTGAATCCGAATCTCCCTGCTATTCAGGCAGGGGTTTTAAAAATATTTTATTGCATTTTCTTTTAATTATGTATAAAATAACCATTGTATTTGCTATTTAATTATTTTTATAGTTTTTATAAATTATTTTATTGATAACAGTTATACAGTGATGGAAGAAAGTTCCGTAATGGTCAAATATCTTGGAAAATAATGATTAAGGAAGAAAATGTTTAATATAAAAGCTTTAGTATATCAAGTGATCAATTATATGGTTATATTGAAATGACCTTCATGTGACCTTGAAGGACACCGTAAAGGTCAACTTTAAAATCTTAAATGGAAACTTCTATTTTCTATTACATATTCGTAAAACTGGTGTCAAGACGTTTCCGAAACACTGGTTACAAATCATTTTTGCTTAAGATCTTCCTGAATTACGAACCTTCAAAGTTTAAGTATTGCCGGCAGTTAGTTGTTGTTTTAGGTCTCCCAGACCTGTTTTCATCTGCAACTGAACCCGTTCTTTCGAATTGCGAAACTGTCCGATAGACAGTGACTTTAGAAATTGGATCGCGGTTAGAATAGGATATGTGTCATTAAACAGATTTGCGACGTCTTAGTGAGATCTCATTTTATCACCATACCCCCGCATCATAAAAATAGTAATTCTCTCTGTGTTAGTTAGATGCATTTTTAATAGTAATCAAAAATGTAATTCGTGGAAAAATTAAAAATTTTATGTAAAAAAAGTGTGACCGCATTTGGATAATTAAAAACAAGAGTTATCGTCCTTCTTGGCGTATAATTAAAAAAGATCTAAGAAAACCGTCGTTCCTTATCACTTTTTCTACATAAAATTTTTAATTTTCCCACGAATTACATTTTTGATTACTATTAAAAATGCATCTAACTAACACAGGAAGAATTACTATTCTTATGATGGGGGGGTATGATAAAATGAGATCTCACCAAGACGTCGCAAATCTGTTTAATGACACATATCCTAACCGCGATCCAATTTCTAAAGTTAC